CTGAACCACCCAGGTGCCCCAGTGTCAGCTAATTTCTAAGCTGAATAGCTCTGCACCAGCTTATCATAAGGTACAAAGGGGGAAATAAATAATTAGGACAAAAATAAGAAAATGTATGTACTCGCTTTATAGGCTTTACATTAGTTGTTTCTTTAAATCTATCCCTACTTCCACACTAGCCCCTCCAAATATTAGGGAATATGATTATTTTGTGGTAAGAGTCTTGACCAAAGGCAGTGGTGGCATTTAACTTCACAAAAGAGGCCTCTGTCTTCTGCCCTCAGCTCTTGGAAGATGATCTTTGTTTGCCCAGAGGCCTTGGGTTAGCCAGTGAATGACTGTGTGATTTAAGGTGGGCTTTAGGTCACATGACATCAGTCCAGTGGAGACTTAAGATCAACCACATGGGCACTCAATTAATCATGCCCATGTAATAGAGCTCTGAAAACTGAGTACTGAGTCTTGGAATAGCTTCCCTAGTACTTGGTACTCTGTGTAATTGTCACACATCGATACCGGGAAAGTAACATGTCCTAAATGCACGGGGAGAGAGAATAGTGGCAGTCCTGCATCTCCTAGTTCCCCAGACTCATGAGCTTCTTTCCTTGGCCAGTCTTAATCTGTATCCCTTCCCTGTAAGAAGTTGTATAATACAGTGTATGCAGTATATATTTTAGCTTTGAGTGGGTTCTGTGAGTCCTAGCAAATCATCCCCAGCCATTGTTTTAGGAATCCCCTGAACTTGCAGTTGGTTTAAGAAGTGACTGTGTTCACTTTTAATGTACATTTGGCTGAATTCCTCACGAATCTCTACTCAAGAGGAATCCAAATCATAAGCCCTTTGTTCTAACTGCCAGATAGGTAAGGACTTGCTTGGTCTCTCAGGAAAATAAATGAAACAAATACACACATGCACACACACACTTTGACATAGTTATATTCTCTTTTTACTCCCTTTTATGTTCTAGAATAAAAAATTATAAAGCACGTTTTCTTTCTTTCATGTCTTACAGTCAAGAGAAAACACAGTAGAAGTCCCAAGGGCGCCCGGGGGGCTCACTTAAGCATCCAGCTCTTGGTTTCAGCTCAGGTCATGATCTCATGGGTTGTAGAATGGAGCCCCATGCCAGGCTCCACACTCAGCAGGGAGTCTGCTTGAGATTCTCTCCCTTTGCCCTTCCCCCTGCTCGCATGCACATGCTCTCTCTCTCAAATCTTTTTTTTTTTTTAAGATTTTATTTATTTTTTAGAGAGCGAGCGAGAGAGAAACAGCATGAGAGGGGAGAGGGTCAGAGGGAGAAGCAGGCTCCCCGCTGAGCCGGGAGCCCAATGTGGGACTCAATCCCAGGACCCTGGGATCATGACCTGAGCCGAAGGCAGATGCTTAACCATCTGAGCCACCCAGGCGCCCTCTCTCAAATCTTTTTAAAGATTTTTATTTATTTATTTGACAGAGAGTGAGACAGCAAGAGAGGGAACACAAGCAGGGGGGAGTGGGAGAGGGAGAAGCAAGCTTCCTGCCGAGCAGGGAGCCCAATGCAGGGCTTGATCCCAGGACCCTGGGATCATGACTTGAGAAAAGGCAGTTGCTTAAAATGACTGAGCCACCCAGGCGCCCCAATAAATAAATATTTTTAAAACAATAGACGTTCCACCAAAAAAAAAAAAAACCACCCCAAGTTACTGGAATTAGCAGATAAGGACATAAACTATTATAACTATATAAAATAATTAATGGGAAAAGAATAATAACTGGGAGAGAGAAGGGTATAATGAGTTGAAGAGTATTTATCCAGAACTTCTAAATGTGACCTAATTTGGAAATAGTCTTTCACGGATGTAATTAGGTAAGTTAACATGAGGTCCTAATATTGGGCCCTAATCTAGTGACTGGTATCCTTACAAGAAAGGGAAATTTGGACCCAGAGAGACACAGGGGAGAACGCCTTGTGAAGCTAGAGGCAGAGATTGAAGTGATACATGTACAAGCCGAGGACTGGCAAGGGTTACTGGCAGCCACCAGCAATGAGGAGAGAGGCCTGGAACAGACTGTCTTGCAGAACCGCCAGATGGACTAATCTTGCTCAGCCCCGAGTTTGGACTTCTGACCTCCAGCACTGTTGTAGACTACATTTGTTTTTTTAAGCCATTCATTTTATAGTACTTTGTTATGAGCCTAGGAAATTAATACATGAGGCCATGAGATAGTCTGGGATATGGATGGAAAACTTTTTTAAGAAGACCAAATGGAAATTCTAGATCTGAAAAACACGGTGGCTAAAATAAAAACCACAGCGGATGGGCTAAACACCAAGTTGGACTTCACAGAAGAAAGAATAAGCGAACTTGAAGACAAGTAAATAGAACTTATCCACACTGAAGCAGAGAGATTAAAAAACCACCACCTGAAAACATGAACAACATTGCTTAGCATTGATGTATTCTCAGACTGGGAAGGATACCTGAAATTGGGATCAGAGTAAGAAGAGGAAGAAAATAGGGCAGGAAGAAATATTTGAAGAAATAAAGACTGAAAAACTTTACAGAAACTCACAACATTCTAAACAAGACAAACACAAAGCAAGGCAACAGCTGAAAACCAAAGATAAAAACTTACAAGTAGATAGAGGAAAAAGACACATCTTCGTCCATCCTCCCCACCTGCCCTGCTTCCTGGGAGGTGGTGCTTCCTGTCCCCCTGGCTGGTAGCCCTGACCATATCCACAGGAGACCTTGAGGTCCAGGTGACCGTTCTCCATGCTGGTCCCAGCCCCAGGCCTGCCTGCGGCAGCTCCCACAATAAAGTCCACTTCTCGGTGTGGCCCCTCTGGTGCTCTTGCAACCGCACTCTCACTTCCACAACTTCCAGTCGGAGTGTCTCTAGCTCTTCAAGTGTGCCTTGCTCCCTTCTGCTGCTGGGAGCTCTCCTCCTTCAGAATCCCTCTTGGCCGGGCCCCCTGGGTCGCAGATGTCTGAAGAGTAGGTTTGCGCCTGCACGGTGTGGGTGCTGACTTCAGTGAAATACACTTGGGAATTCATTCACAAGCCTCGCGCTGTCCTTTCTTCAAACGTAACTGATTGTGGGTGGAGGTTTGGAGGACCAGTCAGCCTGTTGTGGGCCTCGTCCGCCTCTCCAGCATCAGCCTGCACTGTGTTCTTTGCTCTCTGTGTTGCCAGCCACGTCCACCTTCTTTTGGTCCGCCTCCGTTCTTTTCAGCCTCAGGCCTTGGCGCCTGTTAAGTCTGCAGTTCTCCTACAGACCTCCTATACAGAGATACCTGTTCATCCACTTCCCCAGCAAAACCTTCCCACACTTCCCTGATTCGGACAGATGCTCCTTAGGGCTTGCCTTCATGTTGTGTCTTTTCCTATGAGGACCTGGCAAAACTGTGACTGTTGTGCGATTACTGTGTCACTCCCCCCCCCCCCCGCCCGCCCCATGAGCTCTGCGAAGGCAGGAACCCTATCTGGTTGTTCCCATTTTGTATTCTCCAGTCCTAGGCACAGAGCCTGCCGTCCAGGACCTACTCTGCTAATACCTTGTGAGCGAATGGATGGGTGAATGGGTGGACAGTTCCAGGCAGCAGTTGGTGGAGCATGTCAGTGGTTCCTCTGGGAGTGACTCTTAGTCCTCAGGGGAAAAAGACCTTTGGTTTCTCTGACTGCCGTATATCATGTGTTTCCCAGGACTATCTCTTCATACAGAATCTAGTCCCTCTTAGCCATTTCACACTCAGCCCCAGCCTGGCTGTAATGCTCCACCCTGTAACAGCTGCTTTCATCTTCCTGTCTTCACCCTTAGACTCACTGTTCCTGCAGGTGTAGCTACACCTACTGGTGCTGCCCTTAGAAGGCACTGCATATACTCCTTTGGGAGGCTAAAAAGTCATGTTAAAGAAGTGCTCCTGGACTCAGGCAGCCAGGGGTTCTGTGGGAGGAAGAAACCTGCGTCTGGTTGCACTGGCCTCAGAAGTCAGGAGCTGCAACGTACTGGGCACAGATGGGCAAGGGCTCTGATCCTGCGACACTGCTGTCCTCACAGAGCTTCCTGAACATAGAGGAGGGAGGTCACTTCCCGAGCCACACAGTTGAGAAGAAGCGGGCACAGGAGAGGAACCCAGCTCCGTGGGCTCCAGAACCCAGGGCTCCCGAGCAAGCTAGTTCGCCTGCTTCCAGAGTATGGCTTGGCTTGGGAAATCGGTACCCTACTGACAGTTTCGTAGCAACAGTAGCTTCCCTGCAGACGAGGAGGAGGAGGAGCCAGGAGACTATTCCCCTTCGCCACAACAGGAAGCTGCGGCCCAGCGGGGGCGTAGGGGTGCAGATGGCAGGCCAGCGAGGGCACGGACCCTCAAGCATAGGAGCTGGATCTGTGCCCCCTCCCCTGGCGCCTGCGCACTGCAGCTCCGTTCCCCGCCCAACCCCGCCCAACCTCGCCCAACCCCGCCCCGATTGCCCGGGTTTTCAAATTTGAAACCTGCTCCTTTTCCCGCCTGAACATGTTGACCAGCGGAGGGAGAGGGCGGGGCTGCACGCCGCCAATAGTGCTTCAGAAGCTCGCCGGCCCCGCCCCGAAGGTGACGGCAGCGAGCCGCAGGAGGCAGCGGGCAAATGGGCGAGAGTGCCCGCCGGCCCCGCCTCTGCGGCGCCCACGTGCAGCGACCGAGCTGGGGCCTCCCGGACACCCAGGGCCCCCAGAGTACCATTTTAGGTGCAGAGCCTTCGCTATCAGCTTGGGGCTGGAAACTGGGGCCCTGATATACTAAGCAGTCGGTGCGGGGTCGTTGAGCGAAATGGGCAAGACGTGGCCCCCTTCAGCCCGGGGATTCACTCAAAGGCTGGGCCTGGAATCGGCGCCCTTAGCAGCCCCGGGAGTCTGAGTGGGGGCGGGCTCGTGGAGGTGGTCTGCTGTTCCCTGGTCCCTTTTCAGGGGGGCGGGGCCAAGGGCTGGGCCGTCCCGGGGGCGGGGTGTCCCAGGGGCGGGGGCGGGGTGTCCCAGGGGCGGGGCCGGGCCCCTGTGTTTGTTGCACCGTGTCAGTTACATTGTAACAAAAGTGGTGCAGCCGCTCTTCGGGCCAGCACCCTAGGCCCGCCGGCCGCCAGCTGTCGCCGACATGGAACCCGTGGCCAGCAATATCCAGGTCCTGCTGCAGGCGGCCGAGTTCCTAGAGCGCCGTGAGAGAGGTGAGGAAGAACTCTTGGCCAGACTCCAGACGGCAACCTCGCTGACACAGGCCTGGGCTGGATTTGGCTCCCAACAAGAAGGATGCATGCATTGCTTTAGGCAGTAGCCCCGGGGCACCCCGCCCTCAACTTGTTGGCGGGGGAGGGATTCCCCGGGCTATCGGACTGGGAGGGGTTGGGAAAATGGCCCTGGCGCCAAAAGCCCTTCCCTGACCGTGCCTTGCCAGGGGCGCCTGCTGGGACCAGCCCCAGCCTGAAGTGGGCTGGGGCTCTATCTGGCAGAAGCTGAGCATGGCTACGCGTCCCTGTGCCCGCACCGCAATCCAGGCCCAGTCTACAGGAGGAGGAAGCGATCCCCCCAAGCTTCTGGCGCGCTGGACAGTGGGCGGTGAGGAAGGCTGAGGATGGTGGGGGGGGGATGGGTGCCATCCCTCATGGGGCCTCACCTTTGCCCACTTCCTCCTTGTTGCTTGTATCTTCTGGGCCAGGTCCCCTACTCTGGAGGCAATTCAGACCTCTCCTGCCATCTCTTCACTCCCCTCTGTTCATTCAGGGACTGTTTCTTGAGCACCCCTGAGGTGTCAGAAACTATAAACAAGAGACTTTAATGTCCTCCTTCCACTCACACTCCTGCAGTCCGCATCTCTACTCGATTTCCCTCGCAGACTTTTCTCTTTTTCTCAACCCTTTGCACATGCTAATCCCTCCACTTTTAACCCCACTTTGGGTAGCATGTTTCTGGCCCAGCTCAACTGTCGCCTCTGTCCAGGAAGCCCTTCCTGACCGCTGGTAGGGGGCCTCGTTTGGACCCCACAACCACCTGGGCAGGCCTCTCGGCATTTGGCCCAGTGTCTCTGCCTCTTCCTGCGGACTCCAATGCTCAAGGCTGGCACAAGGTCCCCGCATTAGGCTAGTTTGGAGCCCACATCTATAGTGGATTTTAAGCCCCTGGGACTGAGGGTGTGGGTAGTAGCTGACGCCCCCTCATCCTCCCTGGCATTGGCAGGTCTGTGCACAACGAGCTGGAGAAACGCAGGTGAGTCCCAGCTTTGCCCTGACAGCACTGGGCCCCAGGAACCATCATCTTCCTCTGGCCTTCCCTCCCCTGCTGTCCCTTTGGCCAGCAAGGCTGGGCTGGCACTGCCCTCCAGACTCCTTCCCCCGCAGGAGGGCCCAGCTGAAGCGGTGCCTAGAGCAGCTAAAACAGCAGATGCCCCTGGGGCCTGACTGTGCCCGCTACACCACATTGAGCCTTCTGCGCTGGGCCAGGACGCACATCCAGGTAAGGAGCTTCCACTGCGCCCTGCGGCCAGCCTGCCAGAACCTGTGAGCGGTATAGTAGGGAGGGGCTGAGTGGAACTGGGGGGAGAGGCCCGAGGTCATAGCCCAGCAGTTCTCTCTGCTTTTAGCTTCCATTTGTGCTAAGTAGGAAGAAAAGCAGAAGACCACTCAAGAGGACTCTTCTGAGGCTTGAGTGACTTTGCCCAGTAAACGTTCATGATTATTATAGCTATTATCAATTCAGTCCTAACTGGCAAGTCACTCAGCCTCTCTGGACTTGGTTTCCCCCTCTGTACAGAGGGGCATGGCTGTTGAAAACATTCTGATGTGTCATGTGTCAGGGTCCCTAGGACTGCAGAGGTTTCCACTCTCCCATCCCCCCAAGGCCTACTGTTCTGAGCTATCTATTCTGATGCCATTTGGGGAGGCAGTTCCAGAGGCCAGGAGAGGGAAGCCAGTCACCCCTCCTCCCAGCACCCTTCTGCTACCTGGGCTAAGCTCAGTGCCCCCTAGTGGACAGGAGTGGGGTAGCAGACTCAGATTGGGGGGAGGGGGGCAGCAGCCCTAGAAGTGGCCTCAGAAACAATAGAGGCCTTTTCCTGCCCTCCTGGCCCTTTTCGCAGAGGAAGAAATGGGGGCACAGCCAGGCCAAGGACTGAGCAGCACAGCTAATGAGAGGCAGAGTCATAACCCAGGCCGAAGTCCCCTGACTTGCTGTTTTCTTCAACAAGTGTTTATTGAGCACCTGTTCTAGGCACCAGGTGTTGTGGTAGACAGTCCATATGCTATGGAGCAAACAATCACAGTGCAGGGACTGTGAGCTTTGCCCCATGGTGCCCACGTCCCCTCCTTGTGCTGAAGAACACCCTGGCCTGGTAGCAGGCCCATTTCTCACATGGAGCTTGCCTGGCCTGGTTCTTGGGAGGGATGATGTGTGCCCCTTGGGTGCTGGCTGGCCCATGGGCAGGACCTGGGGATTGCTCCTTCCTCAAAGCCCTATCACCCCTCTCCTGGACTCCCTGGCCTCCTGTGGGCTGTCCAACTTGCCCTGGAACATAATTTGGGGCACATAGATCTGTCCAGGTCTGTTTCCTGCTGGAAACCTTCCATGGCTCCTGACAGGACAGTCTCAGTTCCTTCCTTCCTGTAAAACTGTAGGCCCTTAGCCCAGGCCTTGCCACTGGTCTGCTTTTGGTCTCCTATCTTCCCATGCCCTACCAGAAAAGCTGAATTCTCCATGACCTTCCCAGTGTCCCTCTGCTTGGATGCTGCTTCTTGCCCCATCTTTGCATAGACAGCTTACTCATCCTTCTACACCCAGTACAAATGTCCCCTTGCTCAGTTCTCCCTTTCTTGTTGACTGAATGCAGGCTTCTGCCCGCAAGGGCTCTGGTGGGAGAACCCTTGGCCCTCCAGTCCCTGGACCCCAGGCTGGCAGGGCTGGAGGGGGATTAATACTAAAGCTCCAGGGCTCCTGGGAGGTTGACCAGGAGTTACAAACCGGTAGGCTTTGGTTTGTAGTTTTCTAAAAACTTAAATTAGCTGGCAGCACGTAAAAGGACATTTGACATGAAAAAGTCTGACTTCCAGCTTTTCTTAAATTGGGCCACGTGGCAGCACCAGGCCCGTGTGCATGTGGCCGTACCCGGCTAGAACCTGCGGGGGCCGCCCCCTTGAGCTGTAGTGCGCGCTCACCGCCATGCCACAGGCCTTCCCTGTCCCTGCTGCTTGCAGCAGACAGACCCACGTCCCTTGACTAGGCCCTGACGGCCTTTGAGATTGTGGCGCCGTCCCCAGCCCATCAACGCAGCATGCTCCTGGGGCATTTACGTGAGCCGGAGGGCAGGGAGGCTGGCTTCCCCGAGGATGTGGCAGCAGGCCCCTGGGGCCCAGATGCGGTCTGGAGCAGGCGGTGACCAATGGCCGGGCCGTCGCTGGCGGTGCTGTGCTGAGCCCGGGACCTCGCCCCCTTGGGACCCACAGAAGCTGGAGGCGCAGGAGCAGCGGGCGCGGCGGCTCAAGGAGAAGCTGCGCAGCAAGCGGCAGAGCCTGCGGCGGCAGCTGGAGCGGCTCCGGGAGCCGGCGGGGCCGCGGGCAGACGGCCTGGACTCTTCGGGCCTCTCTTCCGAGCGCTCGGACTCGGACCGAGGTGAGTGCCCCGAAGCCAAGGGGTCGTGTGGGCTGAGCGGGCTGCGGCCCCTAACCGGCGGCCTCCCTGTGCAGAGGAGGCGGACGTGGACGTGGAGAGCCTGGCGTCCGGGGCCGAGGCTGAGCTGCTGCGGGGCTTCGGCGCGGGCCGGGAGCACAGCTACTCCCACGGCGGCAGCAGCTGGCTGTGAGCCACCCGCACGCTGCCCTCCGCTCGAGGCCGGAACCCACCGCAAGCCTCAGGGGCTGCCTGCGACGGACTGAAAGGACCCTTCCGTGGGAACAGGTGCCTGCCCCCCTACCCCCACCGCTGGCTGCCGGCCGGTTCTCCTGGGGGAGGGCTCGCCTGTGCTTCCTCCGCGGCCTGCAGGGCAGGCAGCTTGCGCCCGGGCCACCCTTCCAGGCCTTTCTTGTAGCACTTGGCTCCACTGTCCCCAAGTGGAGCAGAAGACTCTTGGGCCCTCACGTTCCTTCCTAGAGAAGGCCCCCAGATACTGGACAGTATTCGCATTAAATTTACGCATCTTTGCTAACTTTCTGTCCATGGTCTTGCCTGACGAAAATGGGGAACTCCCAGGCACGGACAAACTGGAAAAGAGGAAATGAGGTCATAGCCGTGACCGACACCATTCACTCCGGTACCAGGCAGTGTCCCTCCACGCCTCACAGCTGGGGGCTGCCTGGCCCCGCTTCACAGGTGGCACTGAGGCGGAGTACGAGACTTGCCTGAGGCCCAAAGCCAGGAAAGCGTGCAGTCAAGATTCTAACTAAAGCTTTCTGCCTCCAAGAATTATTTATTGAGTGCCTGTTATGTGCTAGACGCAGTTCCAGGCACCCGGGACACATCAGAGAACACAACAAAGGCCCCTGCCCTCGCGGAGCTTACAGTCTAGGCTTCCTCCCCCTGCACGCTGCGCCCCCGAGCGAGCCACCGCCCCTCCCTGGGCCTGTCCTTGGCCCCCCGGCTCCACGCGGAACAGGACACCCGGCCCCAACCCCCCTCCCCCCCCCAGAGCAGAAAGGGCTGGAAGTTGAGTTTTACTAGTAAAGTACGAGCAGGAAGGGCAGAGGGACTGGAGCCGGGCCATCAGGTGTCCCACCGCCCCGGGGCCTGGGCTGGCTACACGAAGTGCTGCCGCTGTTGCTGCTGCTTGCTGGCCGCCTTGCTGGCCAGGTCCTTGGCCTTCTCTGTAGCTGCCAGTGCCGTCTCCTTGGCCTTCTCCTTGGCTTCCTTGGCTGTCTCAACGAGGGTTTTGGAAGGGGCCTCCCCTGCAGCAAAGGGCAGGGGCTGGCTTCAGAAGACACCAAGACGACCCACCTCAACACCCCTCCTCCCCGACACTCCCCCTCTTTGGGCCAGGCGCTGTCCGAAGGGTGCCATTTGCCCCAGGGTACTGATGATGGGTCCCAGGCTTAGAGTGGGGTGGTGACGGCTGTGGACTCCACACCCGGCAGGGCACTAGGGCCTCTTTTTGTGCCCAGAGCCCCTCACCTTGCAGCTTGGCCAAGATGTACTCAAAGCCCTTCATAGTCTTGGTCACGTTGCTTTTGAACCGGGCAAGACCAAATTCCTGGCAAAAGAAGAAAAGGGGGAAAGATTCTGAGCTTCCCACTGACCCCTAGCCCAGCCTCCATACCAAATGCTTGGGGCCCCAAAGCCCCAGCACCCCCACAACACTGCTCACCTGGACAGCTCTGGAGACACCAAATAAGCTAGAGGAGACCCAGGCTTCCCGGCGGATTTCGGTCCAGCCGCTGTTATCAGAGTTCACACAGTAAACACATCGTTCCTCCACCACCTGTGCAGGGAGTCAGGCCAACCACAATCGCGTGGGAGTCTTTCACTTTATCAATTTGCACATAAATTGGATCCCCTGCCTCTTTTTCACAGGGTAGGGCAATCAGGTGAAAATTCACTTCCTTCCCTTACTGTATTCCCAACCTTCATTTCAGGAAGAGAGCAAGAACATAAAGGCCATTCTGCTCTCTCAAACCTCTCCTCTGACCCTTTCAATTAAAAGGCATATAGACTCGAGATCAGTAGAGTGTGTGCCAGCTCTAACCTGGCCCTGGACTTTGTCTGAAGGCTTTCTGTGCAGTGCTTTTAACCTGCCTTCCACCCACTGCAGTGCCTGAGCTCCCTGGCAGGCGAAATGAAAATGGAAATCTGGCAAGCGTCACAGCTCTCATTATCTGACGAGTGACCCAGTACTTCCAAAAGCAACACTTAAAAGACATGTCTCACAGCTGGATCACTATCTTCGTAATTTATAAAAATAGATTACGCCCTCAGGGTAGTCAGCTGTGAAGCCTTCGGAAAACTCTGGGGCAGAACATCAAGGTGCTCGCTCACTCTGTGACCTTGCAGGGCACTTCCTCTCTCAGAACCTCACTTCCCTCTTTGCACAATAGAGAGTAATACCTAGCTCCCAGAGCCACTGTGAAGAAGTTAGCTGAGAAAAACAATGAGAGCTCTCTGAAAACTTTTAGAGTATTCACATATGAGAAGATACTGTAGGATGTTCCTTTAACCAAGGGTTTTCCAGCTCTCTTATAGGCAAGAAATCAAAAGGTATATGAATCTCTCCTTCCAAAATCTTAGGTGAAAACCCATTATGTAAGACAGATAAAGTGGAACTCCTTTAATCATCATGGGGTAAGGGGCCCAGATCCTCTCCCCTCTGAGGCACAAACAAACAAACTGCTTATGGCTTGATAGACTCCTGTTTGAAAAATCACTGCCTCCTTCCCTCAGCATCACTTCTGTGGGCGCACACTCTGTGTGTGCCAGGCACAGTGAGGGTGCTCTGTATTTAGTACTTGGGACAACTCTGTAAAACAAGTACCCCTCCCCCACAGTATGAATGAGTTAAAAAACTAACTGGCTGAAAAAAATCATCTGAGTTTACACTCTAGATCTAGCACTCCCCAGTAACCCAAATCTGCCTCAGACAACAGAAGCCCCTTCATGGCTTCCTAGCCACATGTACCTGGAGCTACTTTTGGGGGACCAACGGGGAGAGTAGTCTCACCATCAGCCGGGCGTGGTTGATGTTCCAAGTGAAGGTGGTCATGGTCTGGTTCTGTGGGTCCACAACAGAATCCTCCAGGATGTACACCGAGTGAGCAACATTGGCAGGAAACAGTCGCTCGGCCCAGCGAGGCATCCTGTTGGTCTTGGTCAGGAGACGCCGGGACAGGAGTTTCTGGTCAGGGGTCACCTCCCGGTGCACTATGTCTTCCGTCAAGACATGTTTGCTGCAAGTATCAGAATGAAGGTGACCCTCGGGGGCATGCCGCTGAAAGACTGCCTGTTGGGGTTCCCCTATGGAGCCTCCCCGCCCAGAATGGCCATGCCTTCCCCAAGCTTGCACCGGTAAGTAGTGTGGCTCACACCTCAACTAGAGTCCCTTGCGACTATCCGAGGGCAAAATCCAACTCCCGCCCTCTTGCTTACCGGATTCCAGCGGGGACTGGACCTCATGATTTATTACCCCAGTGGAGAACGCCGCAGGCAGAGGAGTAGGCCAGCGCCGGGACTTCCAACCCCAAGATCCCTCCCAACTGCTGTGCCGCCGCCTCTTCCTGTCTCACCACCCCGAAATGAGAGAACCTTGGACTAGAGCCTCAAGTAAACCACCGCCCAGGCCCGGCCTCCTTCCACTACCTTGCAGGCCTGGCCTGGCCACTTTTCGGATAGGGTCTTCTTACCCTAAAGAAGGCCACAACGGTTCCGACGATGCCCTACCTCGGACTCGATGTCGAGTCTCTCCCGGCCCCACACTTCGATCTCCAAACAGCGAGGGGGGGAGGACTGCTCTTTCCAGGGCCACGTACCTATAGGGATTCGGGTACCGCTGCCAAAAGGCAGCGAACACTTGGTCCCAGGAACTCCGGAGCACGCTCTGGCCCAGGAAATACTTCACCATCGTCCCGGCCGGGGCGGACTCAGCAACCGCGCAGCATCAGGGGTGCGATGCCCGGGGGGGCACGCGGAGGCCGGACCGAGGCTCGGCGCACGCCCGCCAGGCTCGAAGCTCAGTCACCACCGCGCTGCACCCAAGCTGCCGCCGCCGCCGCCATGAGGAGTTGTCGGGCCGCGCGCGCAACTTCCGGCGCTGCAGCGCTGTACCCACCACTTCCGGCGCCCGCGCACGTGACCCTGCGGCCCCGCCCCTCGCCCTTTACACCGCCCCCCCCCCTCCCCCGCGGGAGTCGCGGCGCTGCGGGTCGGACCCAGGTTGAAGGGGCCCCTAGGTTCCGTGGGGAGTCCGTGGCGGAGCGACGCCTAAGCCCTGCGAGCGAGCTGGGCGGCGGCATGCGGCGCCGTTGAGGGCGCTGCCGCGCGCGCTCCCAGGCCGCCCTGAGTCCTGGGCTATTCAAAGGAGCAGCAGCGCCTGGGGCCGAGGAGCGGGGCAGACGCGGACGCTGCCGGAGCTCCAGCCGACGCGGCGTCTCCAGTCGTAGGTTGGCGCTTTGGGGTCGGGAGCTGAGGCTTGGGCGCTGCCTGCCCGAGCGGAGATCCGGGTTTGCCTCCCGCCCCCGCTCAGGACCCTGACGCGGGTGAGGCGGCCCCGGGAGCATGAGCGGGCAGCGCGTGGACGTCAAGGTGGTGATGCTGGGCAAGGAGTACGTGGGCAAGACGAGCCTGGTGGAACGATACGTGCACGACCGCTTCCTGGTGGGGCCCTATCAGAATGTGAGTGCGCCGCGCGGGGCCCGGTACGGGTGGGAGGGAGCTGGCTCGCACCCGCGGCCCTGATCACTTCCCCCTGATTGCAGACCATCGGGGCCGCCTTCGTGGCCAAGGTGATGTCCGTTGGAGACCGGACGGTGACTTTAGGTATTTGGGTAAGTCCCCTGGGCAAGCAGTCCTGAGAAAACCCATTCATGAGGAGGCTTAGGTTCTCCTGCCTATTACTGGCTGACTTGGGGTCTTGTAGAGGCCATTTTTCTATTTTAGACCCCAGTTTAAAACTAGGGGTCTGGAGGACGTGTTTGCAATCTTGGGGAGTAGCTCGGTAACTCAGGGCTGAGCCGCCTCCTGCCCTTCAGGATACAGCAGGCTCTGAGCGCTACGAGGCCATGAGCCGAATCTATTATCGGGGCGCCAAGGCTGCCATCGTCTGCTATGGTAAGAGGGGTTCTGGCCCGTTCCTCAAACAAGAGGGGGTGGGTGTCAGGCTGGCCTTAGAGAACAGCCCCTGATCCATGGTTGTGTTTTCTGCGTGTCCCGTGTCAAGACCTGACGGACAGCAGCAGTTTTGAGCGAGCGAAGTTCTGGGTGAAGGAACTGCGCAACCTAGAGGAGGTAAGTGCCAGACCTCACCAGACGACCAGGGGCTGGTGGTCCATGGGAGTGACTCTGACCTTGTCTTTTGCCCCAGGGCTGTCAGATCTACCTGTGTGGCACCAAGAGTGACCTGCTGGAGGAGGACAGGCGCCGCCGCCGTGTGGACTTCCACGACGTCCAGGACTATGCAGACAGTAGCTGTTGCTCAGCTCCCTGGGGGTGGGGGAAGGAGGTGGCTTT